CAGTTCATGCAGTCCTCTGCATGAGGGGGGAACTGGAATCATTTTAAGCAGCAAAAGTGCCAGGTATACTTTTACATCTTCATGTAGAGTACATGTGACCTTGCCCAAAGATGGCCAGTATCTTAAAGGCTATTGACTTAAGACGTTCCCACAGCATGTGAAGGAAGTAGTATGTGTCACATTATACATTGTAGTGATTTTCCTCGTTATATTTCACTTTTTGGGCGGTTCATGACCCAGCTCCCAAATAAATAACACATGGAGTCTTATTCATTCCTATTAATGCCCAGTCTTAGTGTGGGTTGTTTTTAGCCAGCTTTTCTTAAATTATCCCACTTACATTTTGCATCTGGGCTTTTCTTACCAATATATATCTTACTTTATTTCTCCATGGCTGGGTTTTATAACTGGTTGATTAGCCCCAATGTCCTCCTCTCACTCATTGATTTCCTTCTGAAATTTCACCTCCTCTTTATTCTCTCCGCTGACCAGCCCCACCTATCCTTTCGCCTGCCATTCAGCTCTTTACTATACCATCAGGTGGTTTAGACAGGTAAAGAATCACAACTTCATAGAGTTAAACAAATTCAACATAAAAGAATTTAACACATCTTTACATCATGAAAGCACATGTTCCACAGCATAAACAAATGTAACATCTTAAAACAATATTCTACAATACAGCAGGAATAAAAAGGGAAGGAAGGTCTTTTCATAGCCACTAGTTGGGGTAACATCTGTGAGCATCCAGAATCTCCAGGGTGATGGAGGTGGGTCTTGTATCTTATCTGTTGCTTTCATTGGTTAACTAATAAAGAAAACTGCTTGGCCTGATAGGACAAAAAATTAGGTAGGTGGAGTAAACAGAACAGAATGCTGGGAGAAAGAAGCCGAGTCAGGCAGTCGCCATGATTCTCCCGCTCCAGACAGACGCAGGTTAAGATCTTTCCTGGTAAGCCACCTTGTGGGCTACACAGATTATTAGAAATGGGTTAGATCAATATGTAAGAGCTAGCCAATAAGAGGCGGGAACTAATGGGCCAGGCAGTGTTTAAAAGAATACAGTTTCCATGTAATTATTTCGGGCATAAGCTAGCCATGCAGGAGCCGGGGTGGCCGGAACGCAGCCCCACCGCTCATATTAGTACAGAGTGGCTTCCCACGTTGGGCGCCAAGTGTAGCAGCTTAAATGAATTCAGACAAAAATTGTAATAATATATACAGCTTTAATTGGGAAATAGACTTACAGAACCAAAAGTTCCAGCAGAGAACTGGAAAACAGAAGGGAAGGTAGGGAGCATGCCCACAATCTTTATAAGTAAAAAATATCCTCGGGGGACCCCGCCCCTCTGCAAGCAAGGTGATTGGCTGGGTCTCCCCTACATCTATGATATAGATATAATTTGCATTGGTATGGATTTTAAGGTCAATTTTGTTATATGTATTTCTGATATTGATTAAGGTATTGTGATTGTGTAGTTGATTTAAAATGTAACGTATAATAGAAAATATAGGTTGCTAATGGATAATCGATAATAGTAAAGCTTGTAGTCATGTTAGATTTTCTAGATATATAGAAATATATTTCAGTTAGATAGACATTCTTCATATCTTAAAAAGACTAAAGAATATGGCATTTTAAATATTTTAATAACTTAGAACTTTTCATGACAATGAGCCACGTCTGCTCCTGGCAGGACCAATCTACTTCAAGAGGAAGATGGGCATCAAAGAGGCTCCTTATGGAGTTTGATAACCATTTGGACGAGAAACTGCTCTTGCCTGGACTGTTGCATAAACTGGACACAGAGAATCCACAGAGAGAGGACTGATAAACTTGTCTAAAGATGAGATGATCTTTCGGGGTTCCTGACTCATGAAAGAGTCTGCGAGACATTCTGCAGGACACAACAGATAGTGACTGAACTGTCTTTGAAATTTCCCGCCTCATGGAAATATCTGCTGGAATATGGGCCTGTAGGCCAAAGATGGATGCCCCAGTGGTATAGAGGAACTTTGGGTGACTGTCCAGGCAGCGAGATGTCTCTGTCACTTCTAAAGTTTTGGAAGTTTCTTACCTGTTTACTTAGGTAATATTATATCCTTCTGGAGTCTTTGATCGAGTTAAAGAATAGTTATAGTTTTGTTTAGTTATTATAAAAGACAAAATAGAAATATTGTAAGTGTAATTCTTGCTTGATAACTGTTTTGTTATGTGTAATTTTACTATGTTAAAATGAAAGCCTCTTTTTTTTTGTTTAAACAGAAAAGGGAAATGATGAAGGTGGGTCATCTTTCTATCTGTTGTTTAATTGGTTAATTAATAAAGAAAACTGTTTAGCCTTTAATAGGACAGAAAATTAGGTAGGCGGAGTAAACAGAACAAAATGCTGGGAGAAAGAAGCTGAGTGAGGCAGTCGCCATGACTCTCCCACTCCAGACAAATGCAGGTTAAGATCTTTCCTGGTAAGCCAGCACGTGGTGCTACACACAATATTTGAAATGGGCTAGATGAATATGTAAGAACTAGCCAATAAGAGGTTAAAACTAATGGACCAAGCAGTGTTTAAAAGAATATAGTTTCCGTGTAATTATTTCGGGTAAAGCTAGCCGGGTGGTGGGTAGCAGCCTGCAGCTCCTTCAATAGTACACAAGGGTAGGGGTGTGTGAATTTAAAAAATTAGGTAGGAGGAACAGGGATACAAAAGAAATACAGAGACATAGGACAGAACTGGGTGGGCTATCCAGTGAATACTGAATATCAAATAGACCCACATTTATGTTCCATACGCTTATATACTCCAATCCGAAAAGGATAGAAGGCAAAAGATTACTTTTAACACGACACAAAGGAAAACAGAATAAATACATGCTTGAAAACTTGAGAATTCAAGCAACTGTTTCCTGAATTAAGCATTCTATGTTTTAGGCAGGTCCTTAGACCAAGTATCTTGTAGGCAGCCACTCCCTAGGTCAAACCTCCTGTCTTAAAAATGAAGAAACAGGAATTATCTGACCTTTTGTCAAAGTGGAGTGGATCTACCTCTATTAACCATCTCAGTAGCTACAACACCAAGTTATCACACTCTAGGTCAGGCTATCTTGTTTGGAGCCACTCCTTAGGTCAGATTTCTTGCCAATAACTTTGAAAGAGCAAGAGTAGGCTTAAGCTCTATGATATTTAGTCAAGGTGGAGCGGCCACACTTATGTGGGGATTGTGGAGAGAATGCTGTACAAATTCTGATAAAACGTAACCCACTAGGCCGGGCGGAGGTGGCGCACGCCTTTAATCCCAGCACTCGGGAGGCAGAGGCAGGCGGATCTCTGTGAGTTCGAGACCAGCCTGGTCTACAAGAGCTAGTTCCAGGACAGGCTCCAAAACCACAGAGAAACCCTGTCTCGAAAAACCAAAAAAAAAAAAAAAAAGTTACCCACTAAAGAGATGTTATTTGAAGATCTGATGGGAATAATGGTGTACTGTGTAAAAATATAAAGCATTCTAGACAGGGTGGAGTGTGAATGGAAGACTCAAAGAATATGGTATTGGTGAGTTGTTACAGGAGAGATGATGAGTAAAAACCAATAGGAAGTAGGGTCAGGTAAGTATCTTAACCCAGTCCACACAAATTTCTGGCTTTTCCTGAGTAAAGTGGCTGCCAAGAATTAACGGCTGAGGGGAGAGTGGAAACAGTAAGGAGTCTGAGGTGATCATTCAGCTAAGAAAGTGGCTTATATGAGAGTGATGGCAGTGAATGTGGTTTGACAAATTTGTTGTAAAAAAAATCAGGTGTCATGTGTTGTTTTTGAGACAGGTTCATGCCATGGAACTCTGGTAAGCATTCATCTTACAGGTCAGGGAGGTCTTCAACTTATATCAATCTTCTTGCCTTCATCTCTTGAACACTGGGATTATAGAAGTGAGTCGCTACACTGGACCAAACCATGTAATCTTCATTCTTTGTTAGCACATATTCAGTGTTCATCACTTTCTTTATTCAGTAATATAGTTTGGTTATATTCACCTCCCATTACTCTCAAGGTTCTGGCTTTCCTTCTACTCTTCTACTCCCCACACTCACACACACAAATCTAGGCTCTATGTTCAAGAGAAAATATTTGTCTTAAGTGTGTCATTTCCTGTGGAGGCATTAGCAAATATCTACATCTCAAGGCAGGCCAAAGAAATGATCCAACTCCAATCTAGGTTACTAGACCTAGCTTATTAATTACTTAAGTGTGGTGATTTGAAATAAAATGACTCCCATAAGCATGTAGGGAGTGGCATTATTAGGAGGTGCCTTGTTGGAGTTAAGTATGTCACTGCAGTGGGGTTTGAGATTACAGATACCCAAACTAGGACCAATGTCTCAGTCTCTTCCTGCTACCTTCTGATCTGGATGCAGAACTCTAAGCTACCTCTCCAAGTATGCCCTGGTGCCATCATGCTTCCCACAATGATGACAATGACTAAACCTCTGAAGTGTGTAAGCCCCAATTAAAAATATTTGTTTATAAGACTTGCTGTGCTCACGGTACTTCTTCATAGCAATAGAATCCCTAAGAAGTATTAATGTTTTAAGACAGCTGCATCACTGAAAACCCCACATCACCAAGGGTATCAACAGATATAAAAAGCTGTATTCTTGGAGGTCCTTGTACAACTATCAGGCAGCTGGGCGGGTGATGGAGGAAGGTCATTGTTTAAATAAAGAAACTGCCTTGCCTTGATAGGTTAGAACATAGGTGGGTGGAGTAAACAGAACAAAATGCTGGGAGGAAGAGGAAGTGATCTCAGACTCGATAGCTCCCCTCTCCCGGGCAGAAGCGATGAAGTTCCGAACCAGGATTGACGTAGGCTAGAATCTTCCCGGTGAGCGCACCTTGGGGTGCTAAACACATTATTAGAAATGGGCTAGTCAAGGTGCGAGAGTTAGCCGAGAAGAGGCTAGAACTAATGGGCCAAGCAGTCTTTAAAAGAATTCAATTTGTGTGTTGTTATTTTGGGGCATAATATAGCCAGGCGGCCAGGAGCCGGGCAGTGGGAAGAGGCTCACAGCTCCCGCAACAGGATGGTCAAAGTCTCTGCATCCCAGCATCTTCTTTTAACTGTTGTGTTTCATATGGGATGTTTTACATTTTGTTTACTTCCTCAGTGTCAGGAAGTTTCAATTCAAAGCAAACTGCAATACAAGCCTATGAATATCTCTAAGTTGATTACATTTTCTTGCAGTGACAATTTTATTATCTATGCTTAAATAAAACTTAATTGGATACAATTTTGTATTCATCCATCTGTTGATGGACACTCAGGCCAAATCCATAACTTGATTACTATGAATAGGTTCATAAAAACATAAAAAATATATAGCATGCCTAGATACCCAGAAGTGGAAAATTTAATTCATATGGTATTTTGAAATCTCTTTTTGAGGAATATATTTAGACTATTTCGCATGCCAAGGATGGTGTAATGTTCTACACTCCTTCCTCCAGCATTTATTTGTATTATTTTTGTCTTCAACCACACTTTTAGAGATGACATGAGGGAAGAACTATTTAATACAATTACCATCAAATAGAACATGTATATTCAAACATTTTACATAAATTTTATAGGCATTTAGATGACATAACAGGCCTTGTACCAAAGAAATTGTTCCACAGTGTAGAGCAAATTCTCAAAAGTTATATCCATGGTAAATGCCCAAACAATGTGGGCTGAATTTATTTAATTTATAAAGCTACCAATACCTCTAGAATAATGCCTTGTCTATTAAACTCTAAAAGTGCTTTAGATTACCCTTGAAGAGACAGTACAGATATAGACATAATGACTCTTTATCACCCTTTCATTAAAAAGCCAGCACTCAAGTGACAAACAGGCTGATCTCTGAGTCTTAGGCCAGACTAGTCTACAAGATGAGAGCTTGTAGACTAGAGCAACACAGAGAAACCTTGTCTCAAAAAATAAAACAAACAAAAACAGATAGGTATAGGTTAAGTAGAGACAGATAATAGATTAACAAAAAAACATCAGTACCGACAAAACAGTATTGTAAGCAATAAATTTCTATTCCAACAGATAATTAAAAACAATGCAATCCTAAGTGATACCATGTTAATTTTGTGTCAAACAGTCTACTAATGATATGTGTTTACAAGGACTTATTTAGTTTTGATCGTTTCATATACATATAGAATATATTGTGGTCATATTCACCCCTTATCCCATTACCCTCTTATCTCTTAACTCCTGCTGATGTTCTTCACAAGTAAACTCCATTCTGAGTCCATGTCTTTGTATGTAGGTCTATATGTATTAAACAAGTAGTCACAGATGCTCTGTGTTCATGACTACAGCAACCATGCAATATCCAAGACTCTATCTCATTCCATCTTCTCTTTCCATCTTCCAGCTTATAAAAATCTTTCCACCCTATCTTCTTTGATGTTTCCTAAGCCTTGAGAGGGTGACATATATGTCATTTAGCATTCAGCAGTTATTCTCAGCACTTCAACAGTTGCAAGTCTCTGCATTATATATCGTCCTCTGAAAACAAAACAAAACAAAACAAAAAGCTTCTCTCTCAGTGAGTAGCACTAGTCTAGGGATATAAAGATAAATATCCAGGGGGCAGTTTTGCTACATGTCCATGTAGCCAAATATCAGTAGTACATTTGCTCTAGGGCCTATGATCTCACCAGACATAAGCTTTTACAGTACCAGGCATGAATTCATCCACAAGAAGATGGCCTCCAATTCAAGTAAAAAGTAGTTGATTATTGCCCAATCATGTTACTATTACACCAGAAGATACACCTTGCCTCAGCTGGGAAAGTCATTCTTACTTAGGGTTTTTATTGCTATGAAGAGACATGACCACAGCAACTCTTATAAATGAAAACATTTAATTGGGACTGGCTTACAGCTGCAGCAGTTTAGTTCATGATCATTATGGCAAAAACCATGGAAGCATGCAGGCAGATATGGAGGCAGTGGAACTGAAGAGTTTCACACCATGATCTGCAGGCAACAGTGAACTGTGTACCACACTGGGTGTGGCATGAGACCTCAAAGCACACACAGTGACATACTCCTAATAAGGCCACACCTACTCTTTACAGAGCCATACCTATAAGCCAAACAAACACATTAGTCCATGGAGTCCACGCCTATTCAAACCACCAGTCATTTATGATTTATTTCAGCCAGCAACCTACATAGGGCTTTTTTTTTTTTTAAATGTGCATTGATATGAAGGTGTCAGACTACCTGGAACTGAAGTTACAATTATGACCAGCCATTTGGGTGGTGGGAATTGAACCCAGGTTCTCTGGAAGAGCAGCAGAGCTCTTAAGAGCTGAGCTAACTCTTCAGCAACCATACTATACTTTCCTGCACTTCCAGCAAGCAGGAAGCTCACAGCTGAGTTCTGGTTGATTTCTCTGAGCCATGTATACAAAGTATATAGTGTCTTGAGCAATAGGATTTTATAACCATTTCATTCTTGTAGGCAACCAAGAGCAATGGCAATACTATCTGGGAAGGCTCTGGGGGCTCTCAGGCCAACAATTCACTGGTAAGTTGCCCATGCTCCAGGAAGTAACCGCTTCCCCAAATACATAAAAGTGACACTAAGTAAAAAAAACACAAAATAGGAGGATGACTTGTTAGAAAGGAGTCATTAAGAATATGATTATAATACATTGCATGTATGTAAGAAAGTCAAACAACAAAAAAAATTTGTTGTGTCTGTACATCAGTCAGATCTTGGCTACTTTTCCCCCCTAGACAGGGTTTCTCTCAGTAGGTTTGGAGCCTGTCCTGGAACTCACTCTATAGACCAAGTTGGTCTCAAACTCATGGCTATGTGCATGCCTCTGCCTCCCAAGTACTGGGATTAAAGGTATGCACCACGATTGCCCACCAGGCTGTATCTTCTTTATTCCTAAAATAAAACACTATCTGAAAAAAAATATGGTATTATGTGTTGGTTACATATGTGACACGAGTCTTCCAGATTCTACCATGCCTGCCCCAGTATTGTTGGTTGTTCACTATTTACCAACACAACACAAAGATTACAATAGTAGCTCAGTTTAGGCATTGACATATATACTAAACAAACCTGAATAATAAATCTACCCACCAATCAATAGATGTATGGTTACACTGGATAGTTTTATGTCAACTTGTCACAAGTTAGAGTTATCAGAGGGAAATCTCATGAAAATGTTTTCATAAGGTCAGACTGTAGGCAAGCCTGTAGGGCATTTCCTTAATTAGTGGCTGATGTGGGAGAGTCCAGCCCATTATAAGTAGAGCCACCCCTGGGCTGGTAGGCAAAAATTCTATAAAACAACAGCAGCAAAACAATCCAGGCGTAGCAAGCCATAGACAGAAGCAGTCAGTGGCAATCCTCCATGGCCTCTGCATCAGTTCTTGCTTCCAGACTCTTGTCCTCCTTGAGTTCTTCCCTCACAACCTTTGATGATAAACTGTTATATCCAACTGTGATCTACATAAACATACAAGAGTCAGCTAATATTTAGTTGATAAACTGAAGATCCATCTAGCCATTTTTACCAAACTCAAACTGACAGATTCTATGGTTGTACATTTATCCCTTATCCCCGATGAACATCATTTGCTGTCTTCATGTCTTCTTATTTAAAAATATAAGTAGCTGAATTGCTTTAAGGGACTTTTTTTTGGAATAGCTCTATGTACATTCTTCTTTTTAGTTCTCAAAGTTTAGATGGCAACATTTCAACTACTGAGTCTGTTTTGTAAACCTAATTCTTTAACAGACTTTAACTGAGTAATAGAATTTGATAATTTTTAACTGAAAATTTGCCCAAATGTATAAAATTGCAAAGGATAAATGGACAGACAGACAGACACTCACACACCCTTAAATTAACCCAAATTCCTGTGTAAGAAATTGTTAATAAAGACCCATCAAGCATACATTGAGCAGTATGGTACAATGTAAACAATGGTTTTTGATCAAAGAGACATGGATATGTTACAAGAAGCAGGGCCCCTTGTTTATCCCTGCAGCCCGGCCCAGCTAGCTTTGCCCCTGAAATAACCACACAGAAACTGTATTATTTTAAACACTGCCTGGCTTTAACTTCTTTTTAGCTAACTCTTATATATTAGTTTAACCCATTTCCATTAATCTGTGTATCACCACGTAACTGTGGCTTACCGGCAAGATTCTAACCAGTGTCAATCTCAGGCAGAAGATCCATGGCGTCTCCCACTCTGCCCTTCTTCCCAGCATTCAGTCTGTCTTCTCCGCCTGATGGAGGAAGGTCATTGGTTAAGTAATAAAGAAACTGCTTGGCCTCATAGGCTAAAACATAGGTGGGAGGAGTAAACAGAACAGAATGCTGAGAGGAAGAGGAAGTGAGCTCAGACTCGACAGCTCTGCTCTCTGGAGCAGAGATGCCATGCTCCTGTCTCCCGGGCAGAGGCGATAGCTCTGCTCTCTGAGGCACACGCGATGAAGCTCCAAGCCAGGATGGACGTAGGCTAGAATCTTCCCGGTAAGAGCACCTAGCGGTGCTACACAGATGATTAGAAATGGGCTAAATTAATATGTGAGAATTAGCCTAGAAGAGGCTAGATAGAAATGGGCCAAGCAGTGTTTAAATGAATACAGTTTGTGTGTTGTTATTTCGGGCATAAGCTAGCAGGCGGCCGGGGTGCTGGGGATGCAGCCCCACCGCTCATATTACTACATCCACCTACCTAAGTTCTGCCCTATTCGGCCCAAAGCAGTTTCTTTATTCATTAGCCAATGAAAGCAACACATGAACAGAAAAACCTCCTACACCATGGATACTTGGGGAAAAAGGGGGGAAATTAAAATTATTAACGAACAAGATGGCTTGGAGTAAAGAGAGGTAAATTATTTATGAAAACATCTAACTTCACATCACTTTGTTCAAGGAACTTTCCCTTTTTCTTTCAAATTATCAAAAAAAAATTCTGTCAAGTGCCTTTGTTATTAAGATGTTAACTGAGATTACACGTCACATAATGGAATACATACTGGGCAAAGGAAGTCAACACAGGAGAGAGGCAAACAATCCCCAAGCTAACAGTGAGGGGGATACCATAATTCTGCTGCACACCAGCCACAGAAAGCAAAATGACCAGCCACAGAAAGCAAAATGACAATAAAGCCATTTGTTCAAGAATCACTATTTAAGATAGTTTAAATTGACCGTTTCAATGCTAGCTGTATAGTTACACAGAAGATGGTCATGAATCTGGCCAGGCCAATTATTAACACTACTGGCACACTATCAAGCCATTTTATTCTAATAAAACAAATGATTTTTCATTTCAGTATTATACTCATGCAGGAGTTAACAATATTTCATCTACTAGAAATGCTACAAGGTTTTCTATGTTTTGTAAAATTAAGCATGCTCAATAAAATAAAAAGTACAAAATACTTTTACTGAATAATTTTATACAACTTACACAATTTTTAATGTTAGTAATAAAAACAACAACATTGTTGTATTTCTTAATATTTAACAGTAATAAGACTAATTCCTGAAGACATGCACTATAATCATATAGTAGATTCTCTCATCAATATGATGGTCTTGGGATCTTAATATATGATGTTCACACTTTAAGTTTATTTAGTAAGTAAAAACAGATGAAGATAAACAAGAGATTCATAAAAAAAACAAATAACCAGTAACGATAGCATATCAACCTCATTTGTAATGACATAAATGCAAACTTAAAATATGGTATCAATTTCAGTTATCCAGACCAACAAAAGGAAAGAATAAAAAAACAAAAAAACCCATCCAATCTTCAGAAAATAAAATTGAGGCAATATCTACAGATGACCAGAGGGTACACAGATGGTGGTACACATACACAACTAACTGAAGTATAAACTGCAATTTTTCAAGGGCACTATAATAACGCATACCAACAATATGTTTAAATCCTTTGAATCAATCATTCCATTTCTAAAAGCTGTCTGCAAGACACAATTAAGCATGGCACAGAAAATGCCAGAGCTTTCACTGCACTACCATTTACACTAATGATACAATTAAAACCCCTAAGAGGAAAATTAATACAGTATGATACATCTTCCTTAAGCCCAGTAGTGTTACCTCAATGAAATTCTCCCAAGCCAGCCTTAGCTTTCCTTTCAATAGTGTCTTCTTGACAGTGGTAAAATATGTCAAACACATTTGATTGATGGAATCTTTGGGGGGGGTTATTCATCTCTAATAAAACAAATGTCACAACTTCATAAAAAATAAACCTGGAAGCTCCAGCAGCAGTTTCTGTTACTGCTGCTAAGGCAAAATTAGTACTGTAACACTAATGACAACTTAATGCCACACAGACATCACAGAAGACAATATTTTAGAACCAAATTTATGCAGCAACAATAGTTACGAAGAGCAGTTGTATTCTCTTAAAACTATAAAACATGTTATCACTTTTTAAAAAGTTAATATAGAATTTATTTAAATAATAGTTTCTTGGACAATAACTAATTTTAGGGTAATTCTCTAAAAATGCTTGCCTTCAGCATGCTTACACTTTACTGTTTTCTTTCTATAAAGCACATTTATCATTGGAAAATTCTGTCATCATTTCTATCAATTAGAGTTCTGGAAAGGAAGATGTAAACATATTCAAAGAAGCCACTGAACTGGAAATCTGCTCTTAAAAAAGCCTTTGGGTCTTTAAAAATGTTTTAATAAGATCTGACCACATCGAGCACTTTATTTAGTGAACACAGATTGCCACCCCCCCCCCCCCCCACTTACTCAGGGAACCTATCATGACTTAGTACCATTTCGTACTAGAATTTCTTCTGTAAAGCAGAAACAGTCCCAAAATGAAGGATCCTCAGGTGTCATGGGAATAGCAGATGCTATCAAATCATTAAAGTTAAGAATGGTAAACTGCCTCTGGGATGGTTTAGAATCATCTTGATATGAACTCTAAGAGAGAAAAGAAACAGAAACAAAAATAGATTGCCTTGTTTTTATTTATACTTCATGTTAACTGAATGATTAGTTTTACAATTATAAAATAATTTCAGTTCACTAATATTAAATCAAGGCTTAGGAAAATTTCTAGAATATTGTTTTTGCTCCTTATACTATTGTTACCAACGTAAAAAAGTGAGATGTGAACTTGCTTTCCAATTTACACACAGCCACCACCTACAAAATTTGCTTAACACAGACTTAATGAGATCTGTATGCACAAAGTTTGACTCAGCATACATACATACAAGGAATCTGAAGATGTGTAATTTCGGGAAGCAGAATTGGGCCACAGGCAAAATTTTTGAAACACTACTGAAGTGTAGGCCTGCTATAACAGATGTGCTGTAACTACACAGGGATGACACTCATTCAAGAAATTATTACTAAGTACCAACAAGGCACCTGACTTCATGTGACAAGCTAATCAGAACACAGAAACATTAAAAACATTGTATAGAATTACCTTTAGGCTCCATGTAGGTGGTAGATATGAAATCATAAATGAAGTTCATATTTAAAATTGGGTCAACTCCAAAATATAATTATATATAAGTAAAATAGTACAAAATCTAAACTCCAAAACACTTTCAGCACAAAGCACTTCAAATGAGGGCTATCAATTCATATTAAATACTTGAACTTCAGACATTAACAAAGTTCAGTACTTATTTATATGGCTTCTAGGCTATGCTAAAATATTGTCATCTCAATTTTACAGATGGGAAACCAAGGGTCAGGAAAAGCTGACCACACAAGTCAAAAAGTTAACTTTGACTTACAACCTAGTTTTCCCACTATGCACTGCTGCAGGAGGTTCTACAGAAAGAAGAAGTACTGAAAGCACAAACATTTAACTGATGTTGCAAAAGTGGCATATCATTATGGTGGTAACCAACCACTTTCTTACTGGATATGGGGCTTGATCCACAGGAGGAATTTCATACCTGGTAATGCAAAACTGGGTCAAAAGATCATACTGGGGACAGCACAGGCCCTAGGGGCTGAACCTACAATTGTTATGTTGAACTGTCATGTAGCGAAATTGCCTTCTATTACTTTAATGCCCATAGTACTGCTTTCCCCTTTGATCAGGTTTTTTTTTTTCTTCCTTTTTTCTGTAATGGGTAACAGTTAACCAACAGACTCATAACTGGTCATGTGCCAAACATAAATAACAGTGAGTGCTCAGCTATGGATGAAGCCTTCTACAATAACCTCCCCTCATCTAAGGCTCAGGGAACATAAAGAGTGGACAGAAAAAATTTAAAAGCTAGCACATGAAGAAGAAAGCTGTAAAATGCTGACTTCAAGACACGGCATGGTATTACACCTATCAACTCTTAAGACCTTCACAAAATCAAGCACATCAAAATTCCTACATGAGTAAGATAAGGGTCTCTGAAACTCCATCCTTACAGGGAGAGGTAGACAATCTACTTTGGGGATATGGCTGTCAGTAAAATAGCTCATGACTCAGTGGATCTCCCCATTCCTATATAGAGCAGCACTAACTGGACTTGAGATTATTAATAACAGCAGCAACAACAGAAACCCTACCCTAAAGCACATGAAGCTGGAAAAAAGGCAGAGTAAGGAACCAAAAAGAGAATTAGAGGTAATAGATATGATCACAATACATCCTATACACATTTAACATTTTCAAAGAACATATTGTTAAAATAAAGAACTATATAAATGTACTCAAAAAAGTATTCGGAGGGAGCATGAAGCTGAATAAGATGAATAACCCAAATCACACTGTCTCCTATCAAGTATCAATTCTAACATTCTAGCCTTCACAAGACAGTCCAAGACAAAATTCAGTCTTTATTTACAAAAGAAATGCTCTGTGGATTACATCATTTTTCTAGAAGTAATAATGAAGGCGTGTGTGTGTGTGTGCATGTAAAACAAAGGCATACGTTTTGTTACTAGTATTCCACAAAGAAATTGCACACAACTACAGCTATATGTAGATTGAGTCTTGGAGTTTTCACCATTAGAAATATAAACAGATTATGACTGAAAATACAGAAGACCAATATCATACGAAGTCTCACATAAACTCTGGAAACAATTTATAATGCTAGGAGTAAGTTTAATTTGTAACATGATTCCACTATCGACCAACCCGGTGACCTTTATATTCAATACACCCCCAATTCACCAGGAAATAAATTCTTGTTATAACTAGGATAGTGGCGATAATGAATTTCTACTGAAAATTTGACAGTACTATCAAAACTTTACTTTGCAATGTTTAAGGGTGTCTAAATATAAGGCTAGCAAGATCTTGTAAGTTTTTTGTGAGTGTATAAAATACCAGATAATTTAAAAAAAATTTGATAATAAAAAACCTTGTAAACTAGAAGCTCGTGAATCAAACAAAACCCCAAGACTTCTGACCCCCTAACTCAACTAGGTAAATTAGAATTTTCTTCAATAAAAGCAAAACCATCATTTAATCACTCTTATTTTTAGCAAGATTTTTAAAAGACCATAAAAGCTTACATTCTGTTGTCTAGATCCATCAGGTTTCCTAACAGCCACTGCAACAAAATGGTGCTCATCTATTTTACTTTCCTGAAGAAAAAAGATAAATGCAAATTATAAAACATAAATCAAGACTTCTTTTTACATTTCTAAATCTTATTTACTTTATACATACCTCTACTACCTTCCCTCCAACACACACACACACACACACACACACACACACACACACACACCTCTCTTGGAACCATGTAACATGTAAGCAAGATTAAGTACTTTATTCACTAACAAAGGATATGCCTTGTTAATCTCCATTGTGACAGTGTGCTGGCTAGTTTTGTGAACTTGACACAAGCTAGAATCATCAGAGTTGAGGGAGTGCCACAATCGAGAAAATATCTCCACAAAACTGAGCTTTAGGCAAGCCTGTAAGGCATATTCTTAATGACTGATGTAGAAGGGCCCAGCCCATTGTGGGTGGTGCCATCCCTGGGTTAGGGTTCTGGGTTCTCTAAGAAAGCAGGCTGAGCAAGCCATGGGGAGCTAATAAGCAGCTCTGCTTGAGTCCCTGTCCTGACTTCTTTAGTAATGACTAAGACATGGAGGTGTAAGTCACACAAACCTTTCTCTTCCCCGCTGGCTTTTGGTTACCCTGTTTCACCACAACAATAGTAGCCCTAACTAGGACAGACAGTAACATTTTAAAACACAAGTCCCAAGCCTTCTTATTAATATATTAATACTTGTTTTTTTGGGTTCTTTGAGACAAGGTTTCACCAAGTAACTGGCTGGTCTGTATACCAGCTGGCCTCCAATTCACAGAGATCCCAAATGCTTAGGCTAAAAGCAAGCACTACTACTACGCCATGCTAGGACAGAAGAGTTTTAATAATTAGATTTCTGTTATACACTTTAAATCGATTCATAATCAAGACAGACATACACTCGTAACTGCTCACATTCTTCTTGTAAATATTAGGAACATCACAGATTCCTCACACATATAAATATGCAAAGTCTTAGCTATAACAATTACAATAAATTTCTTACCTCAAAAGCCCATTCTTTTTCTTCTTCCCCATCCAAGAACAAACGTGTTTCCTTATAAACCTGGCCTATATCCAAGTTTAATGGAGATATATCAAATTCAAGCCTCTGCATTTCAAATCCCAATCCAACACCAATAGCTTTTATGAAGCTTTCTTTTAGTGCCTACAAGGAAAATGGACATTTTTCTCTTGAAGTATTCAATAATTAAAATGTTTCATAACATTTACAAATACAATACATTTGCATTTCTAACCATGTTTTTATTTTTTCCTTTGCTTTGTTCATTATAACATAATTGGAAACAAATAATGCTAGTAGTATTCAGATAAATTATTTATTATGATATCTCAAATGTAAACTATAATGACCAAGTAGTGCCATCCTCAACAGGTTGCTAAAAGAATTAACTAAACTATAAAGACACTGAAGTGACATCTTCTGTTAATTAAGGCTCATACGCATCAGTTTAATGCAGAACATATTATCATGAGTAAATAAAAGTTTAGCTTTAAAAATAAGCTATCTTCTAATTGCACATTACAGGTTAAAATTTCTCAAAATAAATGGTATAACAATATAATATAAATAATAAAAAATATCAAAGTTCTCAAGGAATTTGTCCATTTAAATATAGCATTGTATGATAGTATCAGGAAACCAAGTCTTCATGCTTATTTCTAGTGAAGACAAGGAAATTATTATACATTATTACTGTTAAAATCACAAAGAAATTATACCCAGTGCCGGTAAAACATATCCAGCTGAGTCCATTCATTACTAAAACTTCTGATTGTATCCCACTCCTTGTTGGTAAACTTTCTTTTCATAATATGAAAGAATTCTGGAATAGAACCACGACCTGTCAAATCAAAGAATATAAAAATAAAAATAGTCATTCTATTCAAAAGGGAAATAAGAACAGAATTTAATAAGCTGTTTATTACTGAAGCTACTGAAGAGCACTTAAAAAGGAAAGTCAATTTATACAGGCAATAATTCTAAAAGAGGCTGAAATGTAGTTCAGTGGTAGAATGCAAGCCTGGCATATGCAAGACCCTGAAATGAATTCCTACTACCATAAACATCAAAAACAATAAGAAATACTCTTACATAAAATATCAGCATATCAAAATTAGGTAGGAATTAAAAATAACTCACCATGACAACCATGGGTTAACCTAGAAGAGTTTAATACGAGTTCATGAAATTGTGAATTAAGTAATTAAGCAGAAAAAAAACTTTTTTTTTCAAAAGATGCTCCCAAAAACTTAATACTTGGCAGTCAAACTTGTTATAAATATTAAACAAGTAAAACAAAATTTCTTATATCTGACCAAATACTTTTCAGAAAACCAAAACAACATTTCTATGCTATATTTGGTTTTTAAATTTTTAACATATTCCCTAGGGGGAAAAGAAAATAACTGTCTTATAATAGCTTGCAACTAGAAGTCAGTTAAACAGTGCACACTGTTTAACCAAATACCTCTCCCATAGTGAGTCAGGGAAGAAAACATTACAAATCAGTTCTTGTGCAAAGATGTTTATGGATCCCCTGTGCTCCCACTTCAAAAATAGATCCTTTCTGCTTAACCCACAAATATGTGGTGCTTCAGACTGCAACAATGATTCTCATTCACTTTCAAGCACTGAAATATTATAACGTGATCTTTAGAGTCCTATAACAGGGAAATATTACCATTTGGGGACATGGATGGAACTTTTTAGTAATCTAAAGCTCATTTTCACCTTACTAAGAATTACTAGAGCATTTCAATAAAAACTAGTTCATTCACCGATTCTGACCTTTACTAGCTTCATAAATACCATGCCAGAGAAAGCCTTAAAAAAAAGTTAAGGAGCGGAAGAGATGGCTCAATGGGTAGCTTGCTTAGCAAGCATAGGAACCTGAGTTTCAATCCTCAGCCCCTGTGAAAAACAGGCAAGTATAGCAGTCACCAGTGTCTGTAAGCCCAATGCTGGGGGAAAAAGCACCTGCCAGGGTAAAGGAGTAAGAAGAAGCTGATCCCAGGAACTCAATGACCAGTATCCAGGTTTAGTCAAGTGACCATGTCAAAAAACATTAAGGTGGAAAGTGACAGAAGAACACACTTGATGGCAACCTCTGGCCTCCAAATTCACACTCACACACACACTCTCTCTCTTCTTTCTCTCTCTGTCTCTCTGTCTCTCTGTCTCTCTGTCTCTCTCTCACACACACACACACACACACACACACACCATCCAAAACCACAAAATTAAAAGAGAAACATTTGTTTTTTAATTAACTCTGGCATAAGTAGCATATATAAAATCAAGAGAGAAACATTTTAACTTGGATTTGGAATATTTCATTCTTTGTATAAAACTAGTTTTAATGGTGTAATAAACAAAACTCATAAATTTAAGATAAGCCTGTTTTTATCATGTCATTTTGTCTGTTTTTTTTTTAAGTTTTCCACTTAGAACCCACAAGAATTCCTTTAATTTTTACCTAAGTATAAAGGCAATCAGATAAAAAATAGGAATATATTAAACTATTAACCTACAAGGAAGTCAAACAACCATATAAATCATTACTTAAGCCTGAAAAAATATCAATGAGTATAGTTTGCCAAATATTAAAGCAGAAGATAAACAGCAAGCAATGGGAAGTCCATAAATACTTAACTAAAGGCCAGCAGCACCACCCTGTGGTTTAATAGGGGAAAGCGCATTAGCCAAGTATTTTTTTATTCCACTTTACATAGGACATTAGAAGAAAAACTATTAGGCAATCCCAAAAGAAAAACAAATTTGTCCCTCAAAATATCAGCATAATTACTGAGCATACAAGCAGAAAAATTCTTAACACTACTTGTCTATATTGATGTCTACTATAATAATCATCCTACTGAATATTTAATCATCCTACTGAATATTAAAAACATATGTAAAAAAGGTGAAAGACTGGAAAACATGTGAACTCTCAGTTAAGTTTAGAAAAACTTGATCCTTCTTCAGCGTTTAATTAAAGGAGTAGTTATTAAGGAGAATGACAGTTACTAACTTGTTCTATGTAACCAAGATCACACAACTAAAAAATTGTTGTAAACATAATAACCCAAAACAAAAATCATCAACAAAACCCTTAGCTACTATTCTAGACTTATCAAAAAACATTCTAATGTACTACCAGAACATCAGAGCCCATCTACATCACTCTCAAACAGGGTCTCCAGTACTCCATGTAATAGAATAGCATCTCAGTAAACACTCACCATTCAGCTATGAACAAAGTTCATGGAAAACTGAGTTCAGCCATTAGAACCCAAGTGAAAATTCTAAGTGTGGCTGTGTGGCCTGGAGTACCACTGCTGAGGAGGAGAATGGAGGAACCCTAAGGCTCACAATGGCTAACCAATGTAGCTTAATTGCTGAGCTACAGATTTAAAAAATTCTGTTTCAAGAAGACTGGTGACATTTCAGAGGGAAACATCAGCTGTGGGTTGCTGTCTGGCCTCCATCCATAATATTGGCACCATAACCATACATATACAAAAACTCAAACAAGCTGGGCGGTGGTGGCGCATGCCTTTAATTCCAGCACTCAGGAGGCAGAGGCAGGTGGATCTCTGTGAGTTCGAGGCCAGCCTGGTCTACATGAGCTAGTTCCAGGGAAGGAACCAAAAAGCTACGGAGAAACCCTGTCTTGAAAATCCCAAAACTCAAACAATAAAATTATTCATGCTTCTCAAAGACTATGGGAGCTACTTAGGGAAGGTGGAGGGATAAGCAATGTCTATCTAACTAGAAGCAATAAAAGAGCAGCATGGACAGAAAATGATGATCAAAGAAAACAGAAAGAAATGAGAAGTGGTAGATGCCTACAAAGGGAAAGCAGAAAAGAACAAGATAACATGATTATGTTCAGGAGTTTTGATTCTATTATATGTGTAATGAGAACTTACTTCACAATTTTAAAACTGATGTCCATATCTCAAAATCACTCAGCTCTGTCTGGAGAATCACTTAGGAATGTATACTAATACTAAGGAGGAAAGAATGTGAGAGGAAACAAGAAATAGGCTGTGACTCTTTAGTAATATCCGGGCCTATTTTATACCAACTACACTTAATTTATACTTATAATCCAATAGCTCCTCTAGAGATCAATTCTTATAACAACATCTATTTTGGGATGTGTGTCAGATAAGGTCTTGCAATGTAGTTCAGGATGGAGTTAAACTCATAATCAGTCTGCTTCTACTTCCAGAAGTACGGAGAATAGAGATGTGTGTTAGTACAACTAGCAACAGTCATTTTTAATTAATTATTTAAAATTAGAATTGCTTCTCAAAATATTAACTTATTTTTATATACATCTAAAGTATTTTATAATAAATTCATACATGAAAATGAAAACCATGCAATTAGAATTCTTACTTCTTCCCAAACTTTATTTTTTAAATACTGCCAAATTGAACAATTCATAAAACTATCTTCTTTACACCCGAATCTCCAAACATTTTTACCAGTAAATGAAAATTAGGAAATGAGGACAAAACTTGACCAGGCAAACAACATTATCCCTAAGCATTGGAATTTCCACAACTTGTGCTAGGATCTCAAAGTCAAATCTACTTAAGAAATGAGCTGTACTTAGCCACCATAGGTAATATGAAAAAGGACTTCCCACATTATATCTGACATTATAGACACAAAATGTGGATAATAGAATTGTCTCTTTCGATATGCTAATGGTACTCTTCTATGGTGACTATATCTCAAGAGTTAACAATGCTTGGTAAAGAGTAGTTTCCCTTCTATTCAACACTACATCTTCCATCTTTTAACAAGACTGAAGAACATTCCTTGATCAGCTGCTTCACCTATCCTGGTCTAATAAATCACCAGAGAAGCAAACTGGCGTTTATTTCGTCTTCACTTAGAAAGGATGATCCTATCACAATTTGAAAATCAGTCAGATGGTAATGACCCTAGTCTCAACAGAATGTATCTCTTCCTTTGTGATACTGAGCATCTAAACTTTGAGCCAAATAAACCGTGAAGGGAAAGGCTTTAATCAAACTTGCTGGGGGTCAAAGATTTAATAAAGCATTAGCAGAATTTTCAACTTCTGCTCAACTACCTTCTCACCATTAAAAACTTCAATTAGTAAAATGTTTCCAGGCAGACACTGTTTATTAGTAAAAACTTATTCAGTACTGACCACAGTTAACACTGCACAAAACTGGTTGTAAAATCTGTTTATTTCTAGGCAGACAGTGTCTTGTGCTGTCTTCCTTCTCAATGTTAGTGGCCTCTCCACTAACTTCTAGTTAGAGGAAAAGCTAGTGTGAAGATTTCCCCTCTTCATCCTGACTCCTTTGCAGTAGCAGTTAATTTTGAATAAGGCTTCTATAATACCAGGTCATTTCTCTGGCGTTGCGTTTCAATAAAGTTAGTTACCTTGAAAATTCATGTTGAAATTTACTTGCAAAATACAATAGTATTGGAAGGCCATAGGTGCATCACCTTCATGAATAAATCAATTTTTATCCCAGTCCTCTGGATTTCCCTGAACCCAGAAAAATGAGCCTAAATAAATATTTTTCTTTGTAAACCAGCCTCAGGTATTCTGCAACAGCAAGAAAAAAAGAAATATGCCAAGAAAAATTTGTGCATGCCTATAGAGAAAATGTAGCTGTAGGTGGTTAAAATGGTGCAGTAACTATAGAAATTAAGTATGGCAAGTGTCTACACTTACAAGCATTCTGGTCTACAATTGTCTAATAGTTAAGATCTGAGACATAACTCACTTTACTACGACATAAAAATGAACCATTACCTGGGAAACTAGTCTTCATTACATCAATGCCAACTTGTAACTCAGGTTCTGCAGCAAGAACTGCAAAGTCTCCTTGATGAGAGATATTAAAGTTGAAATTGGGATAGGGATTCAAAGAGTCTTTTGCAAGAACCGGCTTTCCTTTTGAAGTTCTTTGCAGACGAATATGATCCCAAGGGATATTCAATTTCTCTGCAACTAATTTCCTTATCATCAAACGACCGGCCTGTTAAAAGACATAAAAACCCACGGTACATACTGTGTATTTGGTAACTTCCAAGCTTTTAACTTTTAAAGCATATGCATTACTAAACAAACGATTACTACGGACTCCAGTTTTAAGTGGACGGCCCTCCCCAGGCAACATCCCGGGGGAGGAGTCAGTGGTGAGAGCCCCAGGCCTCAAACACAAAGGCGGAAGCAGGTGGCGCACGCCAGAGCCCCCCCCCCCCCCACCCGGCTGGCGACTCCTGCCCGCCTCCCCACAGCCGCAGGCCTCGAGTACCATGGCCGCCTTGGCGTCCCGGGCAAACACGAACTGGCCGATGCGTTCCTTCTCCTCGGGCTGGATCGACCGCACCGCCAGCAGCCATTCGGCTCTACTCGGCAGCCAGGTGCCGCAGGAGAAGGCCCAGCGAACGCCCTCCATGGACGGCACCACGCAGAGCCTCTTGGCGGGGAACACCATGCGCCTCACAGCAACTGCCGCTCTCCAGGCCGATGGCGCGAGCGGGGCTGACCAAGGCCTCTGCTTCCGAGTCTGCGCAAAGGGACTCCACCTCCTTTCTGGCGTCCGTACAAAGAAGTAGGGCGCCTGACTGTGACGTAGCCACAGCCTCCCCTAGAGCAGACGGGCGATGGGCGTGGCCTTGTGATGCTCCGCCCCCAACCCGAAGGTCGCGTCGGGAAGAGGGCAGGGCTGAAGGCGGCGGTGTGGGGGAGAGGCGGCTCCGAGGTCCGCCGCACAGCGTGACGTCTGGTGAACGCGGCTCCGGAGCCTCGGAGAGGGCGGGACCAGGGCCTCCCAGTACCGTTAGGCCACTTACAGTGGAGGACGAGCTAACGGGACAGCCGCACGAGCCAACCACAGCCGGAGCTCTCAGGCTGGACCTGGGTGGAGACTTCAGGCTCTGCGGTTGCAGGTGGGTGAGCTGCGGGGGTCTGAGAAAGAGGGCAGTGGAGTCTTCTGGAGGGGCAAGGGGCCAGCGACCCCCGGCCTCGGTGCAGCCCGTGGGCGCTCCGAAAAGGGAGGATGTACAGTAAGGAATCTCCTGCCCCCGGGAGTTGTGCATGGCGAAACGACCCTCCCCGTACCTCCCTATTACCCCAAGCCCTCCGAGAGCCGCCTGGGTGCAGGCCTTTTTACTTTCACACGAGTTCCGCAAGAGTTTAAGTCACGGCTCCTTGCACCTTAAGTCCGCATGCTGTTCTTAGACTTGACACAAAGTCACAGGGGTGCTTTCCTGTTTCCTTGGTTACTCTTGTAAATAGATGTTGGCGGCTCTTCTGTGAACGTACACTTGAGCAGAGACTTCCCGGAGTCCGAGTCCAAGGAAAAGTTGGTCTCTGGAGATGAATATGGACGCTGCATTTGATGGTAGATAGGTGCCATGATGATTCAGCTTATCCCCTGTTAGGACTATTGCTTAAGACGAGCCTCTCCGCCGACGCAAATAATTCCAACCATACCAAATTAGACCGAATGCCCATGTTTAGTGCATTGTTTTTGGGTGGCTCCGGGAAAGCATGGAGAGGGGAATAGAGGAAACAGGTGACCACGTGAAACGAGGAGACCACATCTTAATTCTCTGGGGTGCAGTTTAAGTAGCCTGTGGGAGTGGACTTGACCTTCCCTGTAGAGGTGGGCTATAATATTCCAGACTCTTTGTATAAAGGGGTGTTAGGGAACTGGGGTGATGTTTTTGACCAAACATTTGTAATATTATAATGGGAGCCTCATCCCAGGCCCTGGATTCCGTCTTTGGAATACTGGGCAGGAAACTCCATTTCAAGCCCCCTCCCCTGGGAGTTGCCTTAGTTCATACTCCACTCCAAGAAAGCCTGCCAAATGGTGACCCCCAGGGAGGGTCAGGAAAGCCCGCAGTCTAGTTTGGTCTGATTGGAATTATTTGCATTGGCAGAGAGGCCCATCTTAAGAAATATTCCTAACATCCCACTTAAGACTGCCAGGAAGGATCTGGAAAGGCCAGCAGTACTCTAATCTACACAGCCACTGCCTATTAGTTATGTACTCTTGAAGATGGCTTTAGTCTGATCCTACTTGTTCCCATTAACATTTTTGTGATACGACATGCCCCCTCGACTTGGGTTTTTTGGAGTGTGTACTTACAGACTGTACTATCTTGATACAGCATCTTGCCTGTTAAAAGCATGAATGGGATGCTATTTAAGAATTGAAGAGAGTTCACAATGCGACACGGTATCTGCAGCATACAGAAAAAGCTACAGTAAGCAATGTGAGGATGAATAGATAAGTAAGCAAGTACTAAAGCCCATGATAGTAAATATAATTCACTTATATTTCTGCTTTGCGTCTTATGTAATTAAGCATCGTATTGCAGTGTATCATAGCCTGTGTTTTTAATGATAGTGTGGGCAGCTTGAGTAGGGCTAAACAGGAACATGACTAGGTTCATCAGGACTGGAAATGATGGAACTAGAGTATTGTCAAACATATTTTTCTGGATAAGGAGTAGAAAAATACAGTGGTACCTAGGGGAGAATAAGAAGTCAAGGGATGGACTATTCTTATTTTGTTTGATGTGATTTTAAAGAGGAGAGTTCTGGAATATGCATGCTATGAAAAGTGTCTTTTATTGGGTGTGGGTTTACAAGGTCAATGAAATAAAGAAGACTCGGAGGCTCTCTGGAATGAATTTTTAGCCTTCCCAGCTGCAAGTGGGTCTCTGGCAAACTTACCCCTGCTGCTTTGCAAAGGGCTTTTTTTATTTGTTATACAATTCACACCTTAAGTAAGTTAATTTCTATATACTAACACCTCTTATCTATGCCCCCCAAAGAGACAATGACAATGCAAATTCCCAAAAATCACAGGACAGTCTCAGTTTGCTGAGGTCTCCTGTAACCAGATTTTGCATAGGCTTTAATCCCTTCAGAAACTCTCAGATAAGATTTACATACTTCAAACAGAAGGTAGCAGTCACAAAAGACAGATCAAGGCTAATACTAATATTTCGGAATCAAACCAGCTACATAACTCTGCAGAAACTCACCACAGTGTCTAGCAGAGAAGGAAAATTTGTGTGTGTGCTGTAGAGCTAGAGGTCTGATTACCATTCTAGCAATCACTTTAGAGTCGTGGATACTGTTGCTTTTTATCATGTCCCTGGGCTAAAGATACAGCTTAGTAGGAAATGTCTAGCTCTTTGTTGTCATACATTTTTAAAATGCCTTCCACAATAATAACTACTCTGTAAATATACTAACAAATAATCTTCCTTCAACTTATCTGTCACTTATGAACTAGAAATTTTCTAAGAATGACAATAGCACCAAAATACTGCCATGTTTTAAGTCAGTGGTTCTTGATGTTAGAATCACAGCTATTTTACCTGCTCTCTGCTATCTCTGTCTCCTAGGAATTGTACTGGCCACCTATAATTTTCTAAAACTCGCTTTTCACTTGAGGGCTTTATATATTTTCTCCCACCAGTGATTTAACTTTTTGTCATTTAGGTCTCAACAAGCACATCCACAAAAAGGCTGTAGTGTGTAGTTGATGACAGCAAGGGCTCCAGAGTCTTACTATCTGGGTTTACATTCCGGCTTTCCACTTACTCATTGTATGTGACTTGGATTAGTACTTGAATTAGCAAAACTTCATTTCCCCATCTATAAAGTTAGGGATAATAATAGTATTTGCTTTTATAAGTAGCTAGAGGAGTTAAAAAGGATACAAGACATGCAAAGCAAGTGGCAGCACATCCTAACTGGAAGATAAAAGGAAGGAAGGAAAGAAGGAAGGAAGGAAGGAAGGAAAGAAGGAAGGAGGGAAAGAAGGAAGGAAGGAAGGAAGGAAGGAAGGAAAGAAGGAAGGAAATATGATGGGGGAGAGTCTTCTGGCTTGTGTTAATTTCATTGGTTAAATAAAGAGACTGCTTTGACCCTTTAATAGGACATAAACTTAGGTAGGCGGAGTAAACAGAACAGAATGCTAGGAGAAAGAAGCTGAGTCAAGGAGTCGCCATGATTCTCCTACCGGACACAGACGCAGGTTAAGATCTTCCCTGGTAAGACACCTCGTGGTGTTACAGGGATATTAGAAATGGGTTAGATCAATATGTAAGAGCTAGCCAATAAGAGGCTGGAACTAATGGGCCAGGCAGTGTTTAAAAGAATACAGTTTCCATGTAATTATTTTGGGTATAAAGCTAGCCGTGCGGGCAGCCGGGTGCTGAGAAAGTAGCCCGCCGCTATTAACACAACAGAAATAAATGCAGGAAGTATAGTTGTATGTCTGCCATATTCTCCAAAACAGCTCTAGTTCCTACTCAGTACTTGTGATGGTTGTTCTTGGTTGTCAACTTAGGTACATCTGGATTGAGCTACAACCCAGAAATGGAGGGCACACCTGTGAGACATTTTCTGCTTGGTTTAAAGTGAGTGAATCAACTTCTTGTCGGGATGTTTGAGGCAGGAAGGCATGCACCTTTGATCTAGATATTGAGTCAGAAAGATGCACACCTTTAATTTTAGTCTTAAGGTGGGAAGACAGCCCTTTAATATACTTCATACCTGCTTCTGGATGCTTATATAAGGACATAGAAGAAGGAAACTTTTGCTTTTTGCCCACTTGCCTTCACCTTACTTGCATGCCCATTCCTTCACTGGCATCGGAGAATAGTTCTTTGGGGATTCCAGCATATCCAGAAGACCAACTGACACCTCCAGCTTGTGGGACTGAGCTTTCTTGGTACTGTAAAATGGGATGAGTGAAGACCATGACAGGTGATAGAATATACCATGCAGAGAGAGCCTGAGTGTGGAGATAAAGGGAAAGGGAAGGGAAGAGAAAATGGGAGAGACAAGGAGGGAGGAGGTGAGAAGCAGAGAGATCTGCATCTTCAGAAGAATGATCTGGAAGTGAAAGTGGGCAGAGCTTGACTCCTACAGGAATCTTTGCACCTGAGCACAAGCCAGGACCCTGGGCTGGCCAGAATACAGCCTGGGTACATTCTGTTAGATGACAGGCCAGACCAGCATAATGCCTGAATTCTAACATTTGGACTTCCCATTCACAGCTAGCCATTGTTGGATTAGCTGGACTGCAGCCTGTAAGTCAATCCAATAAATGACAGTTATGACATATATTTTATGTATATATTGCAAATGTAATATGTTATGCATCATGTATATATCATACATATAAAACATAACATATACATATAATGTATATATTATATAGATAATATATCATATATGTACACATTACATATATTAGAGAGAGAGAGATTCATTCCCTAAGTTCTGTGACTCTAAAGAACCCTGACTAATACAGTACTTTTGTTAACTAACTTCTATCATAAACTCCATATTTACATCCCAATGACTGGAGGCTCTAGTGAAACAAAGCCCAGATAAGGTTAAACCCAGCCTAGCTTTAATTAATTTTACTTATTTCAGGTAGCACGTGCATGCTTTTATGTTACTACTTTATAACAAGAAACTGTTGTTAAGCCTAATTCTTTAGCTTTTAAATTTTTAAAATGATTATTGTAATTTCAGTATAGTCTGTTTGAAAGTTACTTCCATAACCACTTAGCATATGTGTTCTTCCGCATAGTAGTTAATGATAAAGGAATAGCACATAGTGTATGAATTTGGAATCTGGCTTTAAGAGGCAGCATAGAATGATCCTTGTATATAGGAAGTTGATGTACAGTATTGCCAATTAACGCTCAGCCTGCTATATTTAGTGAGTTCTTCCAGATGCCTCTGGCTGTTCTCTCTATCTTAATTGCAGTAAAAACCTAAACCATATTGTAGAGTGGTGAAGTTGGTAATTTTTTAGCTGCACCCCCTCAAGTGGATCTGGTGCAGAAAACTGGGGGATATGTATGAGTGTTTGACACCAGATATACAGAAGAGGGGTGCAGTAAAG